TATAATTGGTTCAGAGTACCCCTAAACCCTAAACCTTGCACCCTAAACCCTAAACCCTAAACCCTTATGAACCTCCAAGTGCAGGACCAAGCTGCCAAGGACCGGGGCCTGCTTGATCGCTCACGTGGGAAGGGTTGCTAGGACGGCCCTGTTCCCTTTTTGAAGGGTTTGGGCTCCCTTGTTTGAGGCTTAAGGTTTAGGGTAGAAGGGTACCCTGTTTATTCCTAGTACTCCTGGTCGAGGTTACAAGTTGTAAAATCAAGTTTTCCAGCAAGGAAACGTTGAATCTTTCCCAAGCTATTTGTAACCCTGTGAGTATGCATCTACCTCGAAACCTTTACAGACTGAAAGGACATCATCTCCCCAGAAAGGCCCTATCCTCAACTAGGGGTTTACGAAAACAAGGGAATTCCCTTAAAATAGGGACCCCAATAAGGTACCCTAAACCCAAAACCCTGAAACCTAAACCCTAAAACCTAAACCCTAAACCCTAACCCCTAACCCCTAACCCTGAACCCTAACCCCTAACCCTTACTTTCGGAAACCCCCAACTAGGGTTATTCGTTAGTAGTAGTTTACTACACCCATCCCTGCACCTTTTGCGCTGCGCATGAACCTTCAAGCCTGGTTGAACCATGGGGTTTAGGGTTTAGGGTTTAGGGTTTAGGGTTTAGGGTTTAGGGTTTGCAGTTTAGCATTTAGGGTTTAGGGTTTAGGGTTAGGGTGTAGGCGAGAAAGACTTGTGCAAAGGAGCGACAAGCCCTCGACACCCTCCTGAAGGCTCTTCAAGAGACCATGGGCAACCGCGGGAGCTGTCAGTATGGCACACCCTCAGTATTAGTTTCTTCCCGATAAGCATTTTATTCTGTTATTCTGTTTGGGTTCTTAAGAAAAATGTTTGCTGGTTGTTTATTTGTGTATGCACACTCCTGTCTTTTAGTTTCTCATTCTTATTTACTCCTATTTTTATCTCCCTCTCTCTCTCTCTCCTTCTGCTTGTCTTTCTTCTGCTTGCGTCCTTTCTATTTTTTATTTGATGCATTTCCTCTGTGTTGTTCTTTATTGTTGTTTTTGGTTTTGTACTTGTTTGTGTTTGCTTATTCCTTTTCCTCCGTTATGTGTTTTCGTCTTTCCCTCTCATTTGCATTCTCTCTCTCTCTCTCTCTCTCGCTCTCTCTTCACTCTTTCTCTCTGTCTCACGCTCACGGGTTTTCTTTCCCGCGAGTTCGACAGGTGGTGAGCCGCCCAAAGCCCTAACTAGGCCCCAGCAATCCCCTCAAAGGAGTTCCCTCCAAAAACCACCTCCAAGCCCAGCCCTCTGCAACCCGAGGCCCCTAAACCCCAAGCCCCAAGCCCTAAACCCTAAACCCTGAACCCTGAACCCCAAACCCCTAAACCCTAAGCCCCTAAACTTAAACCCCAAACCCTAAACCCTAAACCCCAAACCCTAAACCCTAAACCCTAAACCCTAAACCCCTGGGTTGAGGCCAAGGCCGAAAGGCCTAAGGCGCAGATGACCGAGGGCGACCGGGGCTCGGGAATCTAGAGGCCGGCTGCGTGCATTTTGGTGGGTTTAGGGTTTAGGGTTTAGGGTTTAGGGTTTAGGGTTTAGGGTTTAGGGTTTAGGGTTTAGGGTTTGGGGTTTAGGGTTTGGGGTTTAGGGGTGTATGGGGTGTAGGGTTTAGGGCTAGGACCCAGAGTAGGCCCTTATTCCTTTTTTTTGGGCTTACGTTCCCTCACGCGCCCTTTAAACCAAACAGAGTACTCATTTCCTTCGCTTCTGTTCCCCCCTTGCGAAACTTACAGCTGCCCAGAACAGTGGGTTTAGGGTTTTGGGTTTAGGGTTTAGTGTTTAGGGTATAGGGTTTAGGGCTTAGGGCTTAGGGTCCCTGAACCCTCCATGCCCAGAACACGAAGCTTCCCTAGCCGAAAGCCTGCAAACCTGACTTCGCGCCTTCTTAGGGAGGTTCCGAAATCTAAAGTCCTTATTCAGGGACGCACATGTTCACCATGGCAGGTGCTGAGAACCCTCAGAGACCATCCGTGCAGCCAGGAAAAGAGGTGCAGGGTTTTCGGTGCTGTCGCGCGGCTGTGCGCATTGCATCCACAGAAGCTCCAATGCGTGCAGCGGTGCGCGAAGTGCAACGTGCAAGCTGAGGTAAGCGCGGAGGATGCCATATCACAGTGCCCCTTGCAGCCCGATCCTCGCCGTGATCAATAGAAAAAGGGAGCACGCAGCATCTAAGAGCGCGGCGTCACCGGAAAGGACGAGAACTGTTTTGGAAGCCCTCCGATCCCTTCTTTAAGATAGGTGAACCACAAAGCCTTGTGGGTTCAGGGGAGGTTGTTCTGTTCTCCGGGCCTTTTGTTGGGCGCCCTAAGTACGACAAGGGCCTGCATTCATTATAGGTGCACTTAGGAACACCCTAAACCCTCTTTAGTCCCCAAGGCTGCTCTCCGAGGTCGGAACTGCTGGCCTCTGCCTGGTCCGCGCTACAGCCCGGTGGTCTGCTCGCGGGGTGCTGAAGGCAGTGGAGGAAGACATGTAGTCCACGCACACTTTTAGCTTTTTTTCGCTTTTCGGGCACAGAGTCGTGTAAGACAACGCAGCCTACGCATGCACGAATTGAGGTGAAACAACTTTGTGCCACCAGAATGGGGCGGTGGCTCCCCCTGAAAAGAACGGTGCGAAAGTGACAAACTGCACAAGTCAAGGTTCCCTACGGCACCAAGCCAACCGGCAACCATCAAAGGAAATGGCCAAACTGGGCGGACAGCCTTCGGCCAGCCGGGCGCCTTCCTCTGATCTTTACCTGCGACACACGGATACACGAGGGTAGGTAATTTCCTCGAATTGGGGGCCAGCATGCGGCATTCTACAACCCGCGGGGCCCAAGAAACTAACCACACCCTCAAACCCGGCCACAACTATCAGCACAGTGACTGCGTGTATGCAGATTGGGCCATGCGAAGAGCAATCAACTGTACGAACACAGACATCAAGAAACAATAGGATATGCACAAGCCACGAGCGCACATTTGGATGCAGCCGAGATACTAAGAAAACCAAATACAGCCCAGATGCGCAAGTGCAGCGCCAAGCGGAGAGTCCACTCCTTCTGGACGCCAAAGCAATACGGCCGTTCTCCAACTTCTTGCCTGCGCAGATGAGGCGCCGCTGATCCGGCGCGTCCTGGATTTTTACTTCCCGTCCTCTCGCAGGGTGAACATATTGTGAAAAAGCAGACGCCACGCTGGACCACTTCACAATCGCCATCACGTTGTCCATCGCTGCGGATGTCGCAAGAGTCAAGGTGGTGTTGGTTTTGCCGCTCAGCGTCTCAATGAAGATCTGCATGCCACCGCGCTGGCGCAGCACCGGATTTAATGCCGACCCCCTCTGGATGCCGTAGCCTAAAAGCAAAAAGCCGTCCTCCAACTGCTTGCTTGCGAAGATGAGGCGCCGCAAGTCGACCGTGTCCCAGGTCTTGGCCTTCACGTTGTCAATCGTGTTGGATGTCCCATGAGCCAGTGTGGTGTTGGACTTGCCGGTCAGCGTCTCCACGAAGGACTGCGTGCCACCGCGCTGACGCAGCGCCGGGTTCAATGTCGACTCCTCCAACTGCTTGCCTACGAAGATGAGGTGCCGCAAATCGAGTGTGTCCCAGGTATGAGCCAAGGTGGTGCTGGTCAGCATCTCCATGAAGGACTGCGTGCCACCGCGCTGGCGAAACACTGGGTTCAATGCCGACTCGCTCTGGATGCCGTAGCCGGAAAGCAGACGGCCGCCCTCCAACTGCTTGCCTGCAAAGATGAGGCGCCGCAGATCGAGTGAGTCCCGGGCCTTCGCCATCGCGTTGTCACTCCAGCGACCTTGTCGAACTCCATTCCCCGCAGGGCCATCGTACGGAGTTCTGGGGGCTTTGCAATCTGCACTGTTGCAGAGTTCGAGCTCCTTGAGCCAAAATGGCTACGGACGTCCACACACATATTGATTTATTGCATTAGCTTTATCTGTTTTGATATGTATATATGGTACTATAGAGGTAACACAGGTACTTTAAAAATGTATGTACATGTATAGAAATATATACGTATATACATATACATACATGTAGATATGTATGTATGTATACACGTAAACTAGATATTTGTTCGTATATGAAAAGAAACCAGAACACAGGATCAGGCCAGATGTCAGCTTCGGTTCTGTAAGTGCCCCTGTGCTCGACCCGGCTGGCACACCTCCAGCTGGTTTCTGCCCTAAACCCTAAACCCTAAACCCTAAACCCTAAACCCTAAACCCTTTTCATTTGAGCTGCCTTAGGTCTACTCCACCTGCACCTTCAACACCTTTGAGAACGAGCGCCAGCACCGCCCTGAGAACAGCATTCAAGCCACGACATCCACACAACCTTAAAACTCACCAAGCCCGGAACCCTAAACCCTAAACCCTAAACCCTAAACCCCAAACCCCAAACCCCAAACCCTAAACCCTAAACCCTAAACCTTAACCCCCTTGGCGCTTGGAAGAGGTGCCACAGCTTTCTGGATGCGTTTCCAGATGCAGAGCTGCAGCAGGGGCTCGGTCGCCAGCCACGGGCTCAGAGAGAGAACCTAGGGGATGCGGTTTAGGGTTTAGGGTTTAGGGTTCAGGGTGAGTGTCTTCTCCAAACGGTGTATTCTTAGTGAAGACACTCGTTTATGGGTGTTGATGGTTGTGAAGAGAGCGTGGGGGGTCGTGTCGTTTCGGGCTTGAGGGTTATGGGCTTTACTTTGAAGCAGGGAACCAGGTTCCTGGTACCACCCCTACCCTTGGAATGACTTATATACGGAGCTAACTTTCCAAATCCCACACTAAAAGCACGTAAGTCAATTTTTCCGTAGTCTGAATCCTAAAGTGCTGCAGGTCGTTTTCCCTTTTGCTGGACTCAATCAAGTTTAGGCATCAGATTGCTTCTTTGGGGGCAGGCTCGGGCTGGCAGAGCTGGAGACGCGGGATGGCTTCTTCAGAGCTGGGAACCAAGAATAGCCCCAATTGGGTGGAGCCGTTGTGTAGGGATTTAGGGTTTGGGTATGTTTGGGTTTTAGGGTTTTTAGGGTTTTGGTAGGGGTTTAGGGTTTTAGTAGGGTTTGGGGTTTTGGGTTGAGGGTTTGAGGGTTTTAAGGTTCGAGGGTTTTAGGGTTTGAGTGTTTTAGTGCTTCAGTTTTTTTGTTTCAGGGTTTTTGGGTTTTAGGGGTTTGATGGTTTTAGGGTTTTTGGTGTTTCGGGGTTGCAGGGTGTGAGGGTTTTTAGGGTTTGAGGGTTTCAGGGTTTTAGGGTTTTTGGGGTTTGCTGCAGGGGTTTAGGGTTTGGGGGTTTAGGGTTTAGTGTTTTAGGGTTTGAGGTTAGGGGAATAGGGTGCCTGGCGTGCGAGTGTATTGATTTGAGCACAGTTTCTAGCACCTTCTTTGCAGGCACGCCTGCTGAGCTGCATAAGAAACCGCATCTCACTAGAACTTTGGTAGAAGCTATGAAAACTCAACCCTAAAACCCTAAACTCCTAAACCCTAAACCCCGACATGACATGTAATGATGTAAGCATCGTCCCACAAAGGTGTGGCCGCACGCGATGGATGTCGAGGGCTTCTTCGTTGCCTGCTTCCGCAAGAAGGTGCCCTAGACCCTGAACCCTCAACCCTAAACCCTAAACCCTAAACCCTAAACCCTAAACCCTAAACCCTAAACCCTAAACCCTAAACGAGCCTCACATCCAGGCCCGAAGGTCTTGTGTAGGCCTTGAAGGCCTCGCCGAAGCCCTGAAAGCTCTGAAGCCCCTGTAGGCCTTATAAGTTCCAGAAATCCTAACGCCCTAAACCCTGAAACTCTCATCCCAAAAGCCCTAAGCCCCGAAAATGTCCTCATAGCAAGGCCCTTGCAGCTCCGACAGAAAGCCTGGAGAGTGAAGAATGGCCGCAATTTCAGAGGCTCGGAAGGGTTTAGGGTTTAGGGTTTAGGGTTTGGGATTCAGGGTTTAGGGTTTTGGGTTTGCTGTAAGATGGCGTTCGGGGGTTTGGGGGTTTTAGGGTTTAGGGCTACCAGGGCTTGTTTTGGGGCCTTTTTAGGTTTCTGGGGCTCTTGGGCCGTTTTGTTTGTGGGTTTAGGGGGCCTTTTGGCTTTCTGGGTTTTTGTTAGGCCTTTTTTATTTTTTATCGTTTATGGGGTTTAGGGGAGGTTCAGGGCCTTGGGTGGTGAGGGAGAAGGCTTTGCCTCCTGACTAGCGGTTTCAGGGAGTTTGAACTAAGTTGCTATGGTGAGGAAACCGCATGGTTTGCTATACATGCGTATTGCCGGTAGTTTTAGGTTCGCCACTAAGGAAGCCTAACAGCAAGCGACACTTCTTCATGAACAAGTTCGCCTTAGGTTGTCCGGGCTCAGGGCAGCAAGGCCCCAAGACCTACACCAACCTTGAATGAACATGTAGGGTTGTAGGGCCTATAACTTAACCCCAACGCCTAACCCTAAACCCTACTGTACAAACCGGCCTAAACCCTAAGCCCTAAACCCTTAAACCCTACCTTGGCCGTAGGCTGCCGGTCGCGGAGGCAGCAGCGCTGCAGTCTCAGGCCACGCAGGAGCCCTGGGTTAAGCCACATGGGGGTTGGGGGTTTGGGATTTGGGCTTTAGGGTTTATACAAACTGTAGAGGGTTCATGTCCGGGGTGTTGGGCCAAAGTTTTGGGCGAAAGTGTTATCCTGGTCTTGAGAGTTTTGGCTTTATGGTTTAGGGTCTAGACACAAACCCCCAAACCCTGTAACCCCAAGCAGTCCTGATAAGTGGTACACTTTTCCGCTGTTTCGGGCTTAGCGTTTAGGGCTTAGGGTTTAGGGCTTAGGGTTTGGGGCTCAGGGATTAGTGTTGGAGAAAGCTAGCCTATCACTCGATCCTGTCTCATCCAATTGCCCAGTCCTGCACACACCGTGGCTCCATTTTGTACCGGGCTTTGCGAACTAGGAGCCTGAATCATTAGATTAGAGTTTTGGGGGGTTATCATAGTATAATTTTGAAGTCACCATACGGAATTTTTAGTATAATTAATTACAAAGGGGCCATGAGGGAATATTACTAGTACAAATATAAAGGGACCACAAGGGAGTATAATTCGCCCCAAACCCTAAACCCTAAACCCCAAACCCTAAACCCTAAACCCTAAACCGTAATTATTCCGACCCCATGTTGGCAGCATCTGGGCGCTAGGAGCTCGGGTCTTTTCCATCTCCCGCGCTGCTCCTGCGTGAGCGCCAGGCCTGATGCACCTTCTCAGGGGGCTTATGATTTATGGGCATCTTAGGGATATGTATATACATATGTGTATATATATATGTGTGTGTGTGTGTGTTTTTGTGTTTTTTGGGGTACTATGATTCCTAAGAAACAGTTAAAATTATGACTCTTGCCAGGGTTCCAAGTTCAGCACAGGTATTCCTGGGTGCTTGTCAAGGACCTTGAGTAGTGCAAGTTCGCATAGTTGAATTATATAGCAAGCAGCATCGTGTCCTTCTTTGTGGGCTTGTGGTGGCTTCACTGAAGTTCCTTCTCGAGAACCCAGTCATGCTCATGGGCTTAAGGGGTTGACGATCGCCTCAAGAGGTGAACTGGGTTTTGGAGTCCTATACTTGAATACTTTTCTTGGTTCTGGGTTCCCGTTATAGCTACTTATACCGAAGAAGTACATACTTTTTTCAGGGTCTAACCCAAAATAGGATGAACATCGGATTCCCTGCCAGGGCGGAGTTTGGCTTAGCGCCTTCCCTCGCTGGCCGATCCTCGGACGCAGGGTGGGCTTTAACATAGGGGTCGGAATAATTACTAGTAGTGTTCCCCTATGGTCCCTTTATAACTATCCCCCCCCAAAAAAATAATCTAAAAACTAAGGCCCCTATACAAACCCAAACCCTAAACTCTAAACCCTTAACCCTAAACCCTAAACCCTGTGCTAATTATGGTTCATGATCCCTGCTTCATGCGAGCGGACATATGGAGCCTGAAGCCCTAAGCCCTGAGCCCTAAACTTTGTCATCGTGGGGCAACATTGTACATTTTTAAGGGTATTCAAACAACCCCAAACCCCAAGCAATAGACCCTAAACCCCAAACCCGAAACCCTAACCCCTAAACCCCAAACCCTAAACCCTAAACCCCAAACCCTAAACCCCAAACCCTAAACCCCAAACCCTAAACCCCAAACCCTCGAACTCAACTTTCCCAAGGCCGCCAGCGGCCTTTGCCCGACTGAGCGGCATGGTGGAGCCGGGCATCAAAGTCATGGTCAGGCACTCAGAGAGTATTCTGCAGGGTTTAGGGTTTAGGTTTAGGGTTTAGGGTTTAGAGTTTAGAGTTTAGGGTTTGGGGGGGGGGGGGGGGGGGGGGGGGGTTCCGGGTTTCGGGTTTAGGGAGTTTAGGGTTTGGAGTTTAGGCACTCAGAGAGTATTCTACGAGATGGCCCTTATTCCCCTTTTTTAGGGGAGTTTAAGGAGTTTTGGGTTTAGGGAGTTTTGGGGTTTAGAGTTTAGTATAACGTCGGCCTTTGTTCCCTGATTTTTTCCTTTTGAACCCCCTTTAATCCAAGAATGGTGCCCTTTAGATTCTTAGGTTACACTTGGGTCTAGTAAATGCACCCTACCGGTACCTAGCGACGATGTCGGAGAGCACATGTCAGCGAGTGCTGGTGCCAGGATGCCAGTGGTGCGCTGACAGATGACATCCGGCTGGCATCGAACTCAGATGTGGACAGCATTCTCTAAGCCCCCTAATAACCGCATAAGTACAACCTATTCTTGGTATGGGAATGAGGTACCCTATAAAATCCCTTAAAGGACCCAATGAACTCCCTTCGGGGGGGGGGGTATCTAGGGTACCTGAGGCGGTCATCGTACTCGCAAGCTGCAAACCCTGACTGAGGTGGTGGGTGGTAGCCATCTCACATCCGAGGCCGCAACGCTCTACTGGGTAGTTCTCCAGTGGGTTTCGGGTTTAGGGTTTAGGGTTTAGGGTTTAGGGTTGGCTAAGGGTGCCGTATTCTGTAGGGGACCCCAAAAAAAATCAGGACACTGTTTTACAGAACTGCCATATGCCAGTGGCGGGAGGCCACGAATCTGGAGCCCGGCAGTCTAAAAACGCCTTGACTCTTGCCCTAAACCCTAAACCCTAAACCCTAAACCCTAAACCCTAAACCCTAAACCCTGAGCCCGCTGGACACCTAAACTGCTGAACCCCTACTGCCCAACCCCCTCCCGGCCATCGGAACTGCTTCTTGCTGGCATACCAGGAGTGGTTAAAGCTTCACGGCAATGCTGGAGGCTGGCAGGGCCTCCAAGGGGTGGTTTAAGGCTTGTAGGGCTTTCAAGGAAGGCTCAAGTGGTACAGACTCTTGGTTTTTGGATGTATTTGGGGCTTAGGACTAATGACTTGAGGGGCTTGGGGCGCGGCGCATAAGGAAAACCCCAAACTTTAGAAACCCGAAGCCCCCATATAGAGACCCTTTTTGGAGACCCCTTTATCAAAGCCCCCTTTAATAGAAATCCCTAAACCCTGAGCCGAACACCCAAACCCTGCACCCTACACCCCAAAGCCTAAACCCTAAATGAGTGACCGTTGATTCGCTTTAGTAGGGGACGGACATCAGCTTATGGTTTGGTGGCTCTTGATCTGCAGAACGATAGGGGGCACGCGTTTTCGATAACCCCAACATGATGAGAAAATGCCCGCGCAGCTGTAGCATGAAATTCGCGGAAGAGCGTCTTAACCTGCAGCACGATATGACACGTAGGAAACGATAGCCCTCATATACATGTCCTTCAGCTTAACAAGTAATATTGACCGCTGCTCAAGTCCTAAACCCTAAACCCTAAACCCTATAAACCCTAAACCCTAAACCCTATAAACCCTAAACCCTATAAACCCTAAACCCCTAAATTGCCAGGGGGCCTGGGGTCTCGGAGCCTGGCGCTCCGGAGCTCTGGGGCCGCGGGGGCTCGGAGGGCCCTGGAGGAGCCATTTTTTTTTTGCGGGGGGGGGGGGGGGGGGGTTTAGGGTTTAGGGTTTAGGGTTTAGGGTTTAGGGTTTAGGGTTTAGGGTTTAGGGTTTAGGGTTTAGGGTTTAGGGTTTAGGCGTACCACCATGGCATCATACTGAGTCTGAGTGTAGTTTCATGGGCCCTGAATATGGTCCCTAACCTCCATTGGAGGGTTCTGATGTATGGGCCGTTAATTTGTATAGGGTATATAAGAGGTATACAAGGGGCCCCCTTTTAAGGGCCCAAAATAAGGGACCATGTAACTACCCTTAGAATCATACTGTAGCAGTTTGCGTCGGAGGCCTCCCGGCTCACTTTCGGCCGTCCTCCCCATGCTTCTTTAGGGTTTAGGGTTTAGGGTTCAGGAGATGCAAGCAAGTCGCATGAAAGCAGACCTGGTGAGTGCAGCACTCAGTTCATGGTGGCTCTGAACTCCTTTTCTGTCTGCCGGCAGCCGAATCCCACAAGTTTACTTTGCAACTTTGAATGACTAAGGTTACAACACGGTCCTGGACGCGTTTGCCAAAGAAGCCAACGCAACAGGTGCCCAAGAGGCGCCTGGGTGCAAGTGCTTGGTCTGAAGTCCGAGCAGCGATGCCCTAAACCCTAAACCCTAAACCCTAAACCTTAAACCCGTAACCCTAAACCCTGAACCCTTAACTCTGACTCCCCGGGCTGCTTTTGCGCCCATGCTAGTTAGAGCCCGTGCGGATGTCTGCGGAGTTCCGCTTTTGTTGCCGTGCAGATGAGGTGCCATGAACCCCGAGCATACCCATAACCTCTGAGCCTCAAGCCCTCAGCACTGTTGTTTTTCCCAAGTTCTTAGATTGGGATGTTCCCCCTTATACCAACAGCCCTTAATTGGGATTAGAATAGGGGGCATTTTACTCCGTATTAAGGGACTGCTAGTATAAGGGGGGACATCCCAACCCTTAGACCCTAAAGCCTCAACGCAAGAGTTTGTGTCCTAAACCCTAAGCCCTAAACCCGAAACCCTACACCCTAAACCCTAAACACACCGTGCCGCCAGGTCATGGATGAGATGGTGCAGACTAGCGTGAGGCAGATCCTGGCTCTTGGGTTTAGGGTTTAGGGTTTAGGGTCGTAGAGCCCGCCCTCAAGCTCCTCCTTAGGGGTCGCTACATGAAGATAAGATGGCCCTTGGATTGAGGGTACGCCCCACAAAGGGGCTGTAGAATTTCGTGAAATACAGTCCAAAAGACCTTAAACCCTGAACCCTTCACCCTAAACCCAGAGAGAAGTCCGGAGAGAAAAGCCTGCGCTGCAAACCCGCATTGTGCTGCAGAGGCCTGGTGTCATCAGCGGAAGCCCCAGCAATTTTTTTCCGAGCCATGTTGTCTCGAAAACAAGGGAATTCTAACTTAGACCCCCCCAACTAGTAGGATTCCCTTGCAACTAACAGATACCCCAAGAAGGTACCCCAAGTTCCAAAACCACCATATATGCACATATTATATATATATATATACAAATGCCTCTACTGCACGACGGCTAGAAAGCTCGTGAAAAAGTTTCACTTAGCAGCAGCAATGCCACCAAAACACAACTTACTGAGAGCAATGGAGGGATCTAGAATGTGTGGTAGGTCTTGGCGGGATAAACGATGGTTTACACGAGAAATACAACCATTTCCTGGCAAGAGAAAAAGTTCTTCGGACCGGGTCGATCCAAAACCAGCTTTTCACCAGGCAAAAGAATGTTTTGGGTGACAAAGCACCATCGTTGTTGGAGGAAACAATGCTGGCATTTTCAAGAATTAACATGGGTTTCTGTAACTCTGAAACTGGTTCAATCATTTTTGATCCGAGAAAGAGATGGTACTTCTCTTGGAAACTAACATTTTCCCTAATAAGAAGATGGTTTTCTCATCCAACGCCATTGTTGCTCTCGGGACCGGGTCGAGCCAAAACCATCTTTATACTGTTTCTCATAAGAGCCATCTGTTTTCCAAATGCCTCCTTTTTTCCGGAAAAGTTGTTTGTTTTTGGTTGTCTCGCAAAAGGGTGTACGACCTTGTGTCCAAGGAAAGACGGCATTCCTCATGAAACCTTTTTTTCCCACGTGCTTTCTTATCCGAAACCATTTTTCCCTCGTGAAAAGTTTTTTGTTTTCTGTAGACGGGCCGGTCCGACTTGTTATCATTTGGGGCTAGGTTTTCCTTTCAAATTTGGGCCCAGTTATTTTCATTGAACCAACAAGATGTATCGTATCTAAACTTTAAGATGGTCTCATCAATGAACAGCGCTCACAGGAGTAGACTCTTACGTTGATATACTTTATTATGGCGGTTATATTCTACTTAATGCATCACATGCTACACACACATATACATATATATATATATATGTATATACATATGTATTTGTATATGTATATGTATATATATATATATCCATAGCTGTGTTTCACGTTTTTGGGGGAGGCGTGGGGACTGGAAGGGGAGTTTTGGCTTGAGGTGCAATTGCTTTTCCTAGGGATGTCTCGCATGGACAAGCCAGGGCGTCGCCACCAGATATCGGGGTCGGAATAAGTAGTTACGAATGGTATTCCCTTTTTATGGGTCCCTTCGTAACTCCACTGTAAGATAACTCCCAAAACCCTTTCCCAGTTATTAAGGCCCCTACATCACTTGTAGTGCGCCAGCTCTGGCTGTAGGCTACACCATCCTCATCGAGGCCCACGCGCGCGCAGGCGAGCCGCGATACAGCAGGGTGGGCTTTTGGTTAGGGTTTAGGGTTTAGGGTTTAGGGTGTAGGGTTTGGTTTTTGTTTTGTAGGGTTTAGGGTTTGGGGTTTAGGATTTAGGGCTCATGATTCTCACAACCCACCCTTTCGGCTACTATTTGCCCAAGAACTCCCCCAAAAATATTAGGGAGATTCATCCTTACACAAACAATCCAGGGATTGTTTGCTGCTATTTTTTGTGCGGGTTCTTAAAGCAAGAGTAGTACATGGCCTCTTTAAGGGATGATGGAGGGGTATTCAAGGCCATCCTGGTAGATCCAGGAGCGATTCTTACGCGCGCAGCGGAGCTGTGGAAGATGGTCCATAAGGTCAGGCGGACATGCGTCGTACTTCCAAGCAGCTCAGACACCTGAAGCTACAAACCCCTCAAGGCCGAATTTGAACGAAAACCCATAACTCTTAACCCTAAACCTGTAACCCTTCACCCTAAACCCTAAATTGCACTGCAAGAGGCATTTACGTTTCCTTTATCATTGGGTGTAATAGGGTCACATTCAAGAATATAACGTCAGAGGGCTTTTGGTGGGCCTTCCTCGACCAGGTCTAGGCACTCGATGCTTCTGCTTGAACCTCAACCCTAGAAGCCCCAAGCCCTCGAATTCTTAATCGCGTTTAAGGCCAACAGGGCTTATGGAAGCAGGCGCCTGCAAAACCTGATCGTTTTTTCGGAGGTTTCGGGGTAGGGTAGGGGGTTGGGGGGGGGGGGGGGGGGTAAGAATGTTCCGGCCGACCTTAGCCCTGAACCGAAACAGAACATGTCATATGTTGTACTAAAAGAGGCAAAATTCTGTAAATGCCAGTGTTTCGGGCATGGTCGTCATGAATGGGCATTGCCAAACCCCCCAAGATACAAAGAAAGACAGACAGAACGAACCATGGCATAGAAAGAAAGAAAAAAGAAGGAACGAAGGACACAATAAAATAACGACATAAAGAAACCATGCACAGAAAGAAATACATGATATGAATGACAGCATAAAGACAAACAGAACGACATGACTTGAAAAAGCCATTCAGGAAGAAGGAGCCAACAACAGAAAGACCCGAAGACAGACCATAATGCATATATAATGATGAAGGTACAGAGTAAAGCACTGTTATTCACAGTGTTTTTTGCCTTTGTGAGCGTCTTTGTACTACACCCCAAACACAAACTCACGCCCAAGCATTCCAAACTCTTTCGATACCCCTATGCTTTGGTTTAGAGGTGCCAGCTGCCAACGGCATAAGATTTCATAGAGGCTCTTGCAGCCACTTCTCGAAGAGGAAGCAGTGCGTTGTTGTATGTCACAAATGTGAGATTTTTGCATGTTCGGATCAGTAGCGCCATGTGCTGTCGTATTTCCCTAGTGACAGTCTTCGAGGTTCCCGCGCTTTCCTGCCCAGAACCCACGCGAAAACAATGTGCGCAGCGGCGCGTGTCCAGTTTTTTTGGGCGCCTGCGACCTTATAGGATATCAGGGGGGTATTGTAGAGATTTTTAGGCTTTACGAGCCTCTTGGGGCTTATACAGGGGCTTTATGGGGCTTGTAGGGCTTGTAAGGTTTATGGGTTTAGCGTTGCGACCCTATAGAGGCGACAAGAAGAGTGAAGTGCCTTTGCGCGTTGCAATTCTGGAGCCAGAGTGGCTGCGGTTAGGGATTAGGGATTAGGGATTAGGGTTTAGGGTTTCAGAGGTTTAGGGTTTAGGGTTCGCTCCGACGAAAGTACTCTCGACCGTCAGCCCATGACCGCGGTCAGGGTGCCATGCCCCTAAGCCCTTAAACCAACACTGAAAACCCCAAGAACCCGAACACCCTAAACGCCCTAAACGCCCTTAAAGCCTCCTTAAAGCATCCCTAAAGCCTCAATCCCAAACCCCCTGCAACACTTAACCCTAAACCCTAAACCCTAAACCCTAAACCCTAAACCCTAAACCCTAAACCCTAAACCCTAAACCCTTAACCCTAACCCTAAACCCTAAACCCTAAACCCTAAACCCTAAACCCTAAACCCCGCTGTTCCCAACGTATCGGACAGGAAACAGGGATGCTGCTGAAGAGGCCCAGGGCTCATTTCGTGCGGAACCTCCGGAAGTTGGGTATTTGCACCTGCAAAAGGGGGTTGTAGGGTGTAGAAGATGGATTTATGGGTTTAGGATTTAGGGTTTAGGATTTAGGGTTTAGGATTTAGGGTATTTGGGGTTAGGGTTTTGGGTTTAGGGTTTCCATTGGCAATAGGATTGTCGTTGCACAGTGGCCATGGAGTTGGGCAATCAATCGCGCAGCTTTTTTGCAGCAGGGGGCGACGAACATATGGACCCCGGCGAGCATCTAGCAATACTAGCTGAGCCCACTTCACACACGGTAACCCTAAACCGTAAACCGTAAACCCTAAACCTTAAACCCTAAACCCTAAACCCTAGACCCTAGACCCTAAACCCTATCGAACGAAGTGAGACGAGCTGTTTGCGCCATGGGGGCCATTAGCTGCCAAGAGGTAGTTAGCAGCAATATGCAGCAATTCAGACTGAGACCTCTACCTCTAACCATATGGGCCATTTCCCAAAATAGGGGTACCCCTTTTTTACCCCTAATAGAAGAGACTCCCCTTAAAGGGACCTCGAGAAAGGGTACCACTGTTTTCGGAAACCTTCATATTTAGCCCAACCCCGCTGCGGTGCTCACTGTTGCGAGCCATGATTTGTTTCAGCAGCAGCTGTTGCATGATGGTTCCGCCCTCAGCTTGCTCTAGCCGGACAGCTTCAGGCAAATCAATAGTTCTCTAAATTAGGGTCCCTTGGTCCCAAAAATTGTACGGCACCCTGAACAGAAGGACGGCAAAAGGGGCCCGAACTTAGAGAACTCCCCAAACGAAGTACCCTAGTGCCACATGTGGTATGCGATGCCTTGAAAATTGTAAAGGACCACGCCGCAAGGCAATCAGCTTTTGAAACCCTAAGCCTGAGTCCGGACCCTTCAAAGTTGGTCGAAATTGGGCTTATTGGAATTGAGCCCTTTCGTAAAAAAGGACCCTGACCCTAAACCAAACCCCAACCCACTGCCCTTCACCCCTTCCCCCCTTCCCACTTCCCCCTTCTCCTTCCCCCTTCCGCCCCTTGCCCCTTGCCCCTTGCCCCTTGCCCCTTGCCCCTCCCGCACCCACCCACCCACCCACCCGCCCCCGCACCCAAAACAATTCCCTCTAAAACCCTTTCCCCCTCAGCCCTGAAGCCGGGACCCTGAACCCTAAACCCTAAACCCTAAACCCTAAACCCTAAACCCCAAACCCAAACGTCATTCTCACGTCCTCCCCGAAATGTTCAAGAGGCCGCTGGCGATGGTGGCCACCCCCGGGTTGTGGAGACCGAGGCAGAGCTACTTGCAAAGTGTTTCCAGCAGTTTCGGGTTTTCAGGGCTTAGGGCTTAGGGTTTAGGGTTTAGCGTTCGGGCTTAGGGCGTAGGTCTTAGGGCTTCGGGCTTAGGGCTTAGGGCTTGGGCTTAGGGCTTAGGGTTTAGGGCTTAGGGCTTATATAGGGTTTAGGGCCCTAGGGCTTAGGGTTTAGGGTTTAGGGCTTAGGGCTTAGGGCTTAGGGCTTGGGGCATCTCATTGTTGATATAGTGATGGTTTGTCACCTTTCTTTGGGTTGGCGCCATGATTCCCACTATTCTTCCTGGTTACATTTTTGGTCATCTATGCTGTGATATTTGTGTTTTTTGTGCTTGATGGTGTTTTTGTGGTTGAGCATTGTTTTTTGGGAATTGGTGTGTTTAGTGAGTATTGTCATTTGCATTGTTCTCCGTTTGTTGCTCTTTTTGTTTACGTTTTTTTTTTCGAGCTTAAAGGATTACATGCATTTGAAGTTGTATTTGTTTTAGAAGGCTTGATTACTACACATGGTGTGACGCATAGTATTATTTGTGCTGATGTTGCGAATAGGTTCTGAGGCAAACCATAAAAATTTCCTCTGCCATCATAGTCGTCCTTATCCTCCTCCTCCTCCTCCTCCTCCTCCTCCTCCTCCTCCTCCTCCTCGTCCTCGTCAACATCCTCATCGTCATCGGGATCGTCGTACTCATCATCACGGTCATTAATTACCACCACTGTAACCACTGTCGTTATCACCGTTTGTTTGTTAGCTTGCACCCCGCCCCCTTCCCACTATGCCGATGCAGGACTCCTTCCTTAAGACATTTCTTTTTGTATGGTCCTTGTCAACCACTTCTACAGCATAGGGACGCCAACCTAAGTCCTAAGCAAAGCCCTATGCATTGAAATCCTTATGCCCAAGCCCTGAATGTCCCTGAATCTTGAATCCGAATCGCTCAACCCGAACCCCTCTTTGCCTTATAAGTTCGTCTTCGTTTAGGGCTGAAAATGTCACTGTCGACGTCGGGCTTACAGGCTTCCAGCTTTCCAGAATTTTCAGAGTTTAGGCACTTAGGGCTGATACGTTTCCAGCCTCTGGGACGTAGCATGCCTCACGTTGTGCCCTTGATGCTTCCTCTGCGCATGCTGCGAGAGTCGGAAAGCCCTCTGCTCCCAACAAGCCTTTGCTCCAGGAAGTCTCGGCAAAGGAGCCTGACTTGATGCCGATACAAGAAGGAGCGCTGGGTTTAGGGGTTTAGGGGTTTAGGGGTTTAGGGTTTAGGGTTTAGGGTTTAGGGTTTAGGGTTTAGGGTTTAGGGTTTAGGGTTTAGGGGTTGCTGTACATGCCCTGAAACAACCGCGGCAATTGCATAAGGTGTGGCAGTTCCTGAACCCACTTCGAAGAATCGTTCCTGGTCGTTCACTTGGGCTCGAAGTCCCCCAATGCAGGCTTGAAGGTAGGCACTTGGGACTCGGGACATTTCAGATTTTCCCTCCTTGGGCTTCAGATGACCATACTCGGGAAGACTAGGACACGCAGTCGGCCCTTACTCCCTTGTTTTAGGGGCTTAGGCAAGCGCCTATAAATCGAAAAGGGGGACCCTTGTTATTCCTAGGCGACTCTTGGGTCTAAACCCTAAACCCTAAACCCTCAAACCCTCAAACCCTCAAACCCTCAAACCCTCAAACCCTCAAACCCTAAACCCTAAACCCTAAACCCGAAGTTCTTTTTCAGAGGGTTCTAACGGGCCATGCCAGGCTTGAATTTTAAGGGGAACCTTGCGAACCCGACGTCTGATGAGCCTAAGGTTTAGGGGTTTATCCCCTACACCCTACACCCTAAACCCTAAACTCTAAACCCTAAACCCTAAACTCAGGGCCTAGGCCGCCCCCCTACGTTCGGGGGCGGCGCTTAAGCTTTGACCTCGATGGTGCAAGCCGACCCAGATCGCTCGCCCGCCTCCACAGCATGGGGTCGGTAGCGCCCACGATGATACCCCAAACCCTGACGTGGCGCTGGGCATGGGGCTGCCCCCAGGACGCCAGTCCAGGGGGTCCCGGACCCCTCGCCGCAGCGTGCGGGCCGCTGGGACAGCCTGCTCGACCCTAACCCCCTCAGCCTCCTGGGCCCCTGAATCCCTTGATCCCCTGCACCCGCCTTTGTGCTGGTTGCCCAGGCCCTCTGGGCCTTTCTGAACCTGAACTGGGCTGACGACCACCGCGACGGAATGAAAAAGTTTTAGGAAGTAAGCCGTTGGCTTGAGTTTAGGCTTAAACCCTAAAAGGAATAGGTTTGGGTGGCTTTGCCGCCTCGGACGGCGTGGGGTGGGAGAAAAATGTTAGATGGCCTTCCACAATCGGGCCAAAGCTGCTCTTCGCGCCTCACGAAGCTTTCGAGCTTGTTCTAAAACCTAACCTTCACAGCATCTACGCCCTATCACAGCAAACCCTAAAACCCTAAAACCCTAAACCCTAAGCCCTAAACCCTAAGCCCTAAACCCACTCCTGGCCAGGAGCTCTTGGCCTGCACCCCCTGATGTTCAAGAGGTGGGGGGGGGGGTTCCGAAAGCCTCAGAGAGGGCAGAGGGGGGGGGGGGGGTTCCTTCAGAGTACGAACCCTAAAGAAGGTTGTAACCATAGTTGCCCTACTTCTAACCCCACTTATAAGTGTGTTGGGGGATTGGGGTTTCGTTCCTTGTCTATTTGCAAAACATAGGGGCTTTAGGGTTGGTTTGGGGTTGAGTTATTTGTTTTGAGAGGGAGTGGGGGGTTGTCAGGGGAGCACCCTAACCGCAAGAGACTCCCCCCTACACCCTAAAACTCCCATGCATCTTGGGTTTAGGGTGCGAATCAGTTGAGGGTTCAGAGGTGTTTTAGACCCTAAACCCTAGAAAGTTACTCCAGACCCTAAACCGTAGATAACCCCAGCCCCAAACCCTAAACCCTGAACCCTGGGTTGAATCAGGTTTTGGTGAACCCGGATTCGGGTTCAGGCGTTTTTGTTGAGGGCTTATAGGGTTTGTGGCCCAGCTAGTATGTTATGGGTTTGTAGTGGCTAGGGTTTAGGGTTGAGGGTTGAGGGTTGAGGGTTTAGGGTTTAGGGTTTAGGGTTTTGGGTTTTGGGTTTAGGGTTTAGGGTGGGTGCTTGAGGTTCGGTAGCATCTTGAGTCCAAGCCTTGCTTTCGTACTTCCAAAGGATGATTCACTATCGGTGAGGTTCTTCAAGCGTGGGATGTTCCACCTTGTACTAGCAGTCCTGAATAGGGATTATAGTAGGGGTGCTCTAGTCCCTATTAAAAAAAAGTAGAAGGGGGAAGATCCCAACCCAAACCCCAAAACCTAGTTCTTCTCCGCGGGCCTTGCCTTTTAGGTCCTGCTTTGGCGATGGCGGGTCCACACAGGCCCCATCCGAGATTCCTGGCCTGCAGTGGCAGCAAAGGGCTAATGTTCGGGTCCTTTTCATAAACACCCCTTCCCCCCAATCTTGTTTTGGTCCCCGGGGTTTGGAGGGGTGGAAAAAAAGAGGGGGTGTCAATAATGTGGATTCTGGGGGTCTGGGGTCCAGTTTCTCGCAGCTCTGGAGCTGCAGCAATCTCAGAAGACAAGCACTCTCAAACGAGATCTGCTTCTCTGAAGACTGAGCCTCGGAGCTCTTTCAAGCCAGCTCAGCTGAAAAGTCTTCTCTGCAATGGAA